ACTGGCTGGCTGGCCACGGTGCTGTCGGCAAGTTGTTAAAGGATAAATCTGCTTTTGTTCATCTTTTTGTTTCTAAATTCCAGCTCCACTATGTACCAATAAAGCATTAATGTACTTTTGCAGAAACTCAAAAGCTTTCCATTGTACACACCTTTATGTCAGTGTCCAGATGGCTGTATAAAAAAGCTTCTCCAATACCTCTGCCTGTTGTTTTGATAGATGTAGATGATGCAGGGTGTGTGCTAATGAGGTCAGCTGGACAATTCCTTCCTGTGTCATGACCTAAAGTCTCTGCAGGGAACAAGGCAGAGGTAATGGACAAGCTTTTTTTATACAGCCATCTGGACACTGACATAAATGTGTGTAGAATGGAAAGCTTTTGATTTTCTGCAAAAGAAGTAAATTAATGCTATATTGGTACATAAGGCTGCTGGAATTTAGAAAAACAAAAGGCGAACAAACGTGAACTTATCCTTTAAGTGGTTAAAATCTAAAGCAAATAAAGACAGAAACACCACACAATGGGATCACCAGAAAGGAAAATACAGATGGTTTTCTTTAAACCTACTTGTGTGTGCTGAAAATATGCTCTACAATTGCTTTTTGAACTTTCATTTTCTATAGCAAACATATTGCCTTTTTTCGGGTACATTGGATGATACAGATTACATCAGTACTATACAGGTTAATTTCCTTTGGCTCTCATAATGTGTGTCATTACTCAGTGAAATAGAAGAAGATGTTTTCCCTTTTATTTATTTATATTTTTTTTTTTTTTTTAACATTAACTAGCAGAACCAGCATAACATAAAGCAGGAAGGAAAAAGCAACACAATACAAATGTTTCTTTACTGGTTCATCTACTTTATCCTTACATTTATATTTGTTGATTGTTTTTTCATGTTTTAAGAACATAAAATATGGATGTTTGATCCTGCAGGTTTCTATCATTTGGCAGCCATATTTTTTCATGATTTATAATAAATGTTTTAAAAATACAATATACAGTACAATGCGGTATACAGCAACAACTTAGGCAATAGTTATATTGAGTGCTGGAGGAAATTTAAAGTGAACCTTGCATCAAAATGCAATGTTAGCTTATTTACTAGTATTTCACCCCCCCCCCCCCAAAAAAACACCACATTACACATTTTTTTTTCAATATTTATTTGTTAAGGATTTACAAAGACACAATACAATTTGCATAGATAGGTGTGTTATGCATAAAAAGGATAACATTACATCAATACAATCACTCAGGAAGGATGGAAGAAAGTAGATGGAAAGTAGTAGAGAAAAGGGGGCAAAGAAGCAGGGAAGAGGGCAACTGAAAGGCACCATAGAGCATAACAAATACATGAAGTATCCAATCAATGTTCACTAGAGACAAAATCTAAATTTTCATGCATTACTCATGCAGTTAGGGTTAGGCAGCCAAACAGACTAGAGTTTGCTAAACTGGGAAATGCACACATTTTTCATTGCCAGCAATCTGTCCATATGGCATTGGTGGTTCAACGTACCTAAAGTGTTCCTAATCTTAGATGTATCGGGTGAGTTCCAAAGCCTAGTAATATTAATATTAAGTATGGCTGCTAAAAGGAAATGAATGAGCACTACTCTAACACATAGAAGACATTGATCTGTTCCTAGGTGGAGTATGGCAGGGAAGGGTCAGGCTCTACTTTGATTCATTTGATGTCAAAAGCTAAGGTAACATTTTTATTCCAATAAGATTGCAGCAATCTGCACTTCCACAATACATGATAAAGGGAGCCTGTATCCCCACACAGTATCCAGCATTGAGGAGAATATGACTGGGAAGGGGGTAAGAGACCAGCATTGAACTACCTTCTGGTACATTTCCCAGTGATTTGTACAGCTGGAGGATTTATATGTAGATAGTAGTGCTTTTTGCCAAGAGAGGTCAGAGAATGATGGGGATAATTCTGATTTCCATTTAAGCATGGTGTTAGGGTTGAAGAGAGTTAAATTACCATTAAGTACTGTAGAAAACAATGTTATGCTCCTATGATGATGTGAAGTATGAGTAAGATAAGTGTGAACAGGAGTAGGGACTCAAAGTATAGGGGTAAGAGGTGTCTATGAAGAAACCATTGTATTTGTATATAGGTAAATTGATAAGAAGGTGTTAGCTGAAGTTTGTGTTTGGAATTAAAAAGGAGTACAGAACACGTCCAGAGTACAGGTCTGAGAGGTGAGTTAAAACCTTAGATTAACAAAAGGATGGGGAGAGGTTTGGAATAAATTATTGTAAAACCTTTGATAGGTACAGAAAAAATGACAATCACAGCTGACCACCATGTAAATACACTTGCTGGTTATCGAAAGTACTTTCCTCACGCTATCACAACGTGATGAAAGTACTGCGATAGCCAGCAACTGTCAAAGGAGACATCTGCACTGATAATCAGGGCACTAATTATCTGTGCCCTAATATCAGTGCAGCCCCAAAAGTGCCCACTAGTGCCCAGCAGCCCCATCAGTCCCCCAACAGTTCTGCCCATCAGTGCCCAACAGTGTTGCCCATAAGTTCAAAGCAGTGCTGCCAATCTGTACCTGTCTGTGCCACCTATCAATGCTGCCAGTCAGTGCTGCCAGTTAGTGCCCATCAGTGCCACATATCAGTGCAGCATCATCAGTGCCTTTTCATCAATGCCCACCAGTGGCGCCTCATCAGTGCAGCTTCATCAGTGTAGCCTATCAGTGCCCATCAATGCTGCCTATTGTTGCACCACAACGCACATCAGTGAAAAAGAAAAATTACCTGTTTGGAAAATTTGGTAATAGAAACAAAGAAAACCTTTTTTTTCAAAATGTTTGCTCTCCTTTTCCTTTATAATGCAAAAAAATAAATAAAAAAAAAACCCAGTGGTGATTAAATACCACCAAAAGAAATCTCTATTTGTGTGAAACAAATGATAAACATTTCATATGGCTATGCAACAGCATGACAGTCCAATTTTCATTCAAAGTGTGACACAGCTGAAAGCTGAAAATTGGCCTGGGCTGAAAGGGGGTAAAAGTGCCCGGTAGGCAAGTGGTTAATTAGCAGACTTTATAAATCTTGTTGGGGGAATATATATAGCGGTGCACAATTTATGTAAACATTAAGTTGGAAAGAAACTACAGAAACATGCATTTTCCTAATTTTTTTAAATAATTATCCCCAATTGAAATGCCTATCTGCTCCTCCTGACAAAAAGAATGTATAATATGTTAGGATAGCCTTCAAATACAATAAAAATGTGTGGAACCAAGACGTTGTTGAAAAAAAGAAAAAAATATCTGGTAATTAAGAGAGAACAGGAAGAAAGGGCCTGATGACTCAAGTGATTAAAAAATCTCCCCTTAGGAGAAAATAAAATTATATATTTAGTTTATACCCAGGCTCCCATCCATGGTAGCTAGACAAGGGTGACATCACATGCCCTCCAGTAAGTGCATCTTGAGATTCCACATCAAATTTTTAATCTTTAACATACGAAAGGAGTAATTTTGTGCATTTTAGTAAAACGTTTAATATTCTGTTCTGTGTTTCTAAAATAGTCCTTATACTGCTGTATGAGATTTACATGAACATATTAAAGGATAAGTTCATCTTTTAACAAAAAAATAATAAATGAACATGTTTTTGCAGGTAAAAGATGTGCATTTATTATTTTTTGTTGCAGGAGCCTGTAAAGCATTGCACTAGTGATTAGCAGATTGCTGGTGCCATGCAGGTCTCCTGCAGACCTACCTGTCAGTATATCTGCTTGCCCATACATCCTACACAGGTAAGCAGATACACTGCCAGGAAGAATCAATGAACTACTACGGTGCTCCACAGTGCTATGGCTGTTCATTGAGAGCTACAAGCCATCACCCGCAAAGGATGTCAGTGTTTGTAGTTCATTCATTCACATAACTCTGTGAATGAATGAAGCAGACATGTGGATGGAGCCGTGCATGGCCACACTGTTTTTAAAAAGTGACAGCTTGTACAGGGAACTTCTCTCCATACTTCTGTCACAGGGAGGAAGGGGGAGAGGGGGGAATCGGGCAGCAGCTGCAGCATCGGGAACATGTTAGATGTTCTACCCTAAAAATGGGTCATACATGTAACATGTTCCCAAAGGTGCAGTTATTCTTTAAATTGATAGAATAAGAAATAAAGAAAATTACATATTATACTGAAACACGTGTATGCTCTGTGTTGCTATATGTTAATTGGACACTGCAGAAAAGTGAACACTTTCATATGTTTATTAACCACTTCCAGACCGGACACTTTTACCCCCTTCCTGACCAGGGCAATTTTCAGCTTTCAGCGCTATCACACTTTGAATGACAATTGCGCGGTCATGCAACACTGTACCCAAATGGATTTTTTACCATTTTTTTGAGACAGATAAAGCTTTATTTTGGTGGTATTTATTCACCGCTGGGATTTTTATTTGTTTTGCTATGTAAATGAAAAAGTCCAAAAATTTTGAAAAAAGTGTTTTTTTTTATACAATTTTGCAAATAAATAATATTTCATCGTAAATCTTGGCCACAATTTATTCTGTTATCTTTTTAGTAAAAAAAAAAATCCAAATTAGTTTATAACCAAAAATTATAATTTTTAAACATTTTTTTTTTACAATTTTATTTTAATTTTTTTATATTATTATTTTTTAGCTTTTTTATTTTTTTTTACATACTGTCACCCTAGCAGTACAGTGTCACCATGGTGACACTGCACTACTTGTGGGGGGTGATGAAGATTTTTTTTTTTTTTTTCACTGATTGCTTTTACACCCATATAGGATGTAAAAGCAATCATTTCTCTTTCTCTCTGGCTGCATTCTTGCACTCATTGAGAAGTACTGAGTGAGCTTTGATTGGTCACAGCTTGTCACATGGTACAAGACTGTTGTGAATAGCCTTGTACCATGTGACCTCTGTGATCATTCACAGATTTCACACGTAGTAAGCAATGATGTCACAAGTGACATCTTGCTTACTACTTTGCATGTGATCACTGATTGGCCAATCAGTGATCACATGATCGGGACTTCGTACAGAGGTCCCGTCCGACGATCGGTGTTTCACTGTGTCCCAGGGAGCGAGCACAAGCAGGGTGCGGGGAGGCCGTTTATAAACGGCCACCCGACCCTACAGTGCCACCATCCGGCCGTTTATATACAATGGCCGGTCGGGAAGTGGTTAATATCTATGAAGCTGCTTTCCAGACAAAATTGGTAGTTGATTTTTATTGACTGGATATGTTACACAACTGAAGAAGGTGGTAAACCAGGCAGACCAATGATGAAAGAATGAGGAAAATATTAGGCTTTATATAAATAATAGATAAGAAAAAAAACAGGAAGAAGAGTAAGCAATGGTCCAGAGATAATAAATGCATACAATTTTAAAGTCAACCTGTGATTATGGAAATATGTAAACTCCTACTCATGATTTGCTTTAAAAATGCATATTCTGGGATTTTTATCTCAATATTGCTTTCACTACATAGCGAACTACTGTCAATCAACAAGCATACAGTACATCAAGTGCAATCTGAAAACTCTAGACCTGTTTTCAGATTCTACCCCAGTGACACACCAGGTAGTAAAGCCAGAATACAGATTATGGCCTCAGAGCCCACATCTTTATTAACAGGTCATCACTCATTTCACTATCTACCTTCACTTTAAACAAACTTCAAAGAAAGTGAAAAGGTAATACATTCTTTTCCTTTCATTTTTAAATCTACTTTAAAATCATCCTTGAAAGGTTTGTGTAATTCCTAGCATCAAAAATAAGGAATGCAACCAGACTGAGCACTGAATAAATCTGTAAACATTATTTAAAAGGATAATATCAACAATTAAATAGCATGTGTTCTCTTTAATTCTTTAAGACTGCTTTTAAAATAATAAGAACCCCCTGAGGCAGATGGTTAATATAGCTGACTATACTGTGTTAAATGGCTTGGGACAGATTACTGCTCAAATTTTTCAAGCTCCAGATGAAGCAAGTATTCTGCTGAAAGGGTTAGGGGTTAAGATAAGTGTTAAATACTAGTGCCAATTTAAGTGTTAGGGTTTTAGAGTTAAAGTATATCTAAAGCCAACATTTTGTACTTTTGGATTGAGTGGGGGATGGTTAAAACCACTATTGGGATTCTTTTTCCCTTTGTGTCTCATTAGGGAGAGTTTCCTTCACTTCCTGCCCTGCAGACTCAACAAGATGTAAGAAGATATCTTTCTAACATTAGAGGTAATTTAGACAGTTGTGACATTTGTGTTCTCATTGGAATATTTTACCTCTATTCCTGTTTTGGAGGCAACTCAAAATTCTGGATCTACCCTCACTTTCATTCCCATTGACATTGGTAATTAGGAAAAATGGATAGAGTGAATCTCCCCATAGGGGGTGCAGACAGATATACACTCACCGGCCACTTTATTAGGTACACCTGTTCAATTACTTGGTAACAAATACTGCTAATAAGCCAATCACATGTCAGCAACTCAATGCATTTAGGCATCTAGACGTGGTGAAGATGGCTTGATGAAGTTTAAAACCGAGCATCAGTATGGGAAAGAAAGGGGATTTAAGTGACTTTGAACATGGCATGGTTGTTGGTGCCAGACAGGCTGATCTGAGTATTTCAAAAACTGCTGATCACGTACATCCTTCTCTAGGAATGGTCAAAAAAGAGAAAATATCCAGTGAGTGGCAGATGTGTGGACAAAAATGCCTTGTTGATGTCAGAGGTCAGAGGAGAATGGGCAGACTGATTTGAGTTGATAAAAAGGCAACAGTAACTCAAATAACCACTCGTTACAACCAAGGTATGCAGAATACCATCTCTAAATGCACAACACATCTAACCTTGAAGCATATAGCTATAGCAACTGAAGACCACACTGGATGCCATTCTATTCAGCTAAGAAGAGAAAACAGAGGCTACAATTTGCACAGGCTCACCAAAATTGGACAATAGAAGACTGGAAAAACATTGCCTGGTCTGATGAGCCTTGATTTCCCTAAAGATGGTTGTGCTTGAAAATCCCAGTAGATCAGCAGTTTTTGAAATACTCAGGCCAGCTTGTCTGGCACCAACAACCATGCCATGTTCAAAGTCACTTAAATTCCCCTTCTTCCCCATTCTGATGTTCAGTTTGAACTTTAGCAAGTCGTCTTCACCACGTCTAAATACTTAAATGCATTACATTGCTGCCATGTAATTGGCTGATTAGCAATTTGTGTTACCAAGCAATTGAACAGGTGTTCTGTACCTAATAAAGTGGTCGGTGAGCATATCATTCCTGACAGTGGTTCTAAGTAATCACCATTCTATCTATCTTAAATACTGTATATAGAAAAATAGTTTGCTTTTAGTTATATTTTAATTTTGCAGTAAAAGTATTATAGCGTTAAGACTGAATGATTCATTTTAGGGATTAGGTTAAGAATTTTGCATAGTTTTCATGCATACATTTTTCTTGATGAACATCTGGGATGAAAATGAGAAAAAAAATAAATCCCTCCATATATGCCAATCAATATGGGTGAAGGAATCTCTCCTTCTGGCTATTATATTCAGACAGCATCTGTTACTGTCTGAACACCTGAATAATGACTGCATCTGACAAGATGCAGTCACTGTTTGGCCAACGATTTTCTATGAGTTAAATTTATTGAGCCTATTGGTGTTGACAGGGCTACCCACTACTCAAAATTTTACCAATTCAACAGGAATTAGCTGGAATTCAATTCAGATATAGAGTAGGAGAATAAGTTACATTTTAGAGACTCTCTTACAGTGCTACATACCAATAATTTAATTCCAATTTAGAGGAGCCATTTGTTAACATGGGATTGTCTGCCTTGTTGGAAAGTCAAACATTTTTTTTTACCACTTGCCAATCACGCTATGGCCGAAAGATGTCTACAGCGTGGTTGTCCAGTTCTGGGAGACTGTCCATGAACATCCTTCCAGAACGTGCTCCCTGCACCAATCACAGTGGCCTTCTACCACATGATCGGCTGTGTCCAATGACACAGCAGATCACAAAGTAAATACAGCTTCCGGCTATTGGCAGCACTTTCCTCATGCTGTCACAGCGTGAGGAAAGTACAGCCAATAACCCGCAAATGTGACAAAGGATATCTTCACTGATAATCAGGAACTTATTATCAGTGCCCTCATTATCAGTGTCTCCCAGCAGTGCCCAGCAAAGCTGCACAGCAGTGCCACCCATCAGTTCCAAGCAATGCCACCCAGCAATGCCACCCAGCTGTGCCCAGCAGTGTCATTTATCAGTGCTCAGCAGTGCCACCCATTAGTGCTGCCCAGCAATGTCACCCATCAGTGCTGCCCAGCAGTGCCACCCATCAGTGCCAAGCAGTGCTGCCCAGCAGTGCCGCCCATCAGTGCTGTCTGTCTTTGCCTCCAGTAAGTGTTGCCCATCAGTGCAGCACATCAGTGCAGCCTATCAGTGCCCATCAGTACCACCTATCAGTGCCGCCTATCAGTGCCCATCAGTGCCTCCTCATCAAATTATTGTGGAAACAAAATGAAAATATTTAGCCATGCTTTAAATAGCAGTAAGACCTTATTTTCTCAATGACTTAAACAAGGCCTTGTTCATACAGGCATATGTAATCATGCCCTGTGTGATGGCCATGTATAGCCATAGCACATGTGCATCAGTGTGCAGGCAGTCCCAGGGTACACTCAGGGCCATGAACCTGTGTCTGTACAGATGCCACATTGGGAACAGTGGCTTTGTCCATGCATGGAACGCCTTTGCATCCCTGCGTGGGTAAACACAGCTGTCTCACAGATTTATATGTTCCATGTAAATGAGGCCAAATTAAACTTCTATAAAGTCAAGATGCTTCCTACTATGCTTTTTACTATATGTATAAAATTCTGCTGGTTTGATTATATGGTCATAGGGGATGGCATACAGCACTGTAAGACAGGCTTAAATAAGTGAAACAACTCTTAAATGAAATATCAAGTATCCTTCATCCTTCCTCTCTGCAAAATAGGGATGGTAGGGTTTGTCAATTGACTAGATGACTAGTCTTTGTGTTGTAATTAGATTTAAAATAAACTTCCTAGAAAAGCAGCAAGCCAGTTATACATCAGAATATTAGATTTCTGGGATTCAGTGCAAGTACAATGCTGAGAATGCCCCTAGAGGCCATGGTTTAAATAAGTAACATTTTTTTTATAATGTAACAGGCTTAATGGTAGCCTCCAAAGTTGTATCTTTTTATCTAAGGATAACTTATCTTTTTAGAAAACACACGCTTACCCTCTTTGCCCACTCATCTTCTAAGCTAATGTAAACTTATCTGAATCAAATGGCATGGTATGCTGCTATTTCAAGGTAATTTGGCTAAAAGTTTCTTGCACCACACTTACACAATCCATCCCCATAGACTTCTATGCAGTATAGACTTAAGTGGGCCTGTCTCACTCTCATCTCTTTTATCATGAGATGCGTTTATTCTACATCAAAAGGATCTAAAGGGTTCACCTGTGAAGTTGCAGCCAGTAAACTGAAGAATGTACCCAATGATGCTGCAGGACATGGCTGTTTAAGTATAAGGCATGGGGGGGAGGGGGGTCCTATAACAGGGGAAAGGGAGAAGCAAAATAAAACATTTTAGTTCCCCTAAAAGTACAATTATTCTTTAATAACATCAAATTACCTGTTATCTTTGGTATGTCATATTTTAAACAACAAAATTGAGATACACTATAAATGCATACAGCATTGGAAAACAAAGTAGCAGTATGTGAAGCACTAAAGTATATTAAATTATGCAGTTGCACATGGTGTAATGATTCATAGAAATGCTTGATGCCGATACTAAATAACTACTTGTCTTTGTTTTTTAACAAACCGACATCTGTGATTTTGAGCTAGCAGGAACAAATGTGCTATTTAACCTTAGGACATACTTTAAAATTCAGCAATATTTATTAAATGCACTTAGCAAGAAACAGAAATACTGAGGGAGTGTCCAAATCTTCTCTGATAAAGTGGAACTAATTAAAAAGAAGGCAGGAGGTACAATTTATGGAGTATTCTATTTGAATCTTGCTGCATTTAAACACTGTTTATAATTTAGCATGCAGATAGAAAAATCAAAAGGTTATTTTAGGCAGATAAAAATGAAAGTAAATGGAATTGGCACATAAAAATAGGCATTAATCAAATCCAGCATCCACAGTTAAA